AGTCTTGTCTTTTCTTTTTTGTGGTACTGGGTATGGAACCCAGGGCCTTGCACAGGCTAAGCAAGCGCTCCATCACTGAGCTACACCCCCAGCTCTATTTCTTTCTTATTTTTCAGACAGGATCTGGTTAAGTTGCCTTGGCTGACCTTGAACCTGCAATCCTCCTGCCTCTCCCTTCCCAGAACCTGAAATTACAGGCATGCACTGGGAGAGAACTAGTCTTTTAGATTACTTTTCTTATACAATGCTAATTAAGTATCATGGAGATAGTAAAACTGTCATTACCATTTCAAAACTACTCTGAGGATTGCTTCAAACATTTTAACCTACTCAGAAAAACAAATTTCATAAGGGTCTCTTGCCCAAAGCTCCCTGCTTTTCTATTTTTTTTTTTTTTTGGAGGGGTACACATTTGTTGCTTTTCTATTTTTATTTTTTTGGGGGGAAGGTACACATTTGAATATTTTAAGGTTTGCCATTTGCCTTTCAGCCTAATGGGTAAAATAATAAGTCTAGATGCCGCTATTATCATACAGCTCTAAAAAGGAAGGGGCCAAAATTCTCACAGGTTATTTATTCTACTACTTTGACAGAAAAATAATTTTAAAAATAGTACTAGGCCAATGAATTCTATTTCATGTGAACAGTTAATAGTTCAAATAGTTAATTCTATTTTATGTGAATTCCACCTCGATAAAAAAAAAAAAAAAAGAAAGCTACTAGATACTTCCAAGACATTATAAATTATATGGAGAGAAAGCTTTGGGGGTGTTTCTAATGGGTCTGAACACCAAGCAGGAGCAGGAATGACCAAACTATTCTAAGTATACTGTGTTCCAGATTAGCTTGGAGCTTCAACAAACCTTTAGAATAACCTTAAGCATGTGAAATGGGCTACAACAGAAAAGTCAATAGTTGCACTAGGAAGTGTGACCAAGAGGAACCTGGAGGAAAAAGATTGTTATCAAAACAATTTCAAGCTGTTTTGTGAACTTCAATGTAATTTAGAACTTCTATGTAATTCAATTTTCAAGTGGCTTGAACAACTTGGGCTTACCACTGGGCACAGGTCCACAATCACAGCATCTCAGGTGATTGAGGCAGGACCAAGTTTGAGGCCAGCCTCAGCAATTCAGTGAGACTATACCTCAAAACAAATAATAGAAAGATCTGGAGCTATATATAGTTCAGTGGTAAAGTGCTCCTGGGTTCAATCCCCAGTACAAGAAAACAAACAAAAACAAACAAACTTGGGTTTACCACCTCCTGTTCTAGGTACCTAACAAGTGTAAGCTAGATTTCTGTATAACTCAAACTCAGGATAGACTCTTCAAAAGACCATGAAACAGGACAGGGGTTTGTGGCTCAGTGGTAGAGTGCTTGCCTAGAATTCATGAGGCACTGGCCTCGATCCCTGGCACCACATAAAAATAATAAACAAATTTTTGGTATTGTGTTCATCTACAACTAAAGACCATGAAATAGAATTAATTCTTAATGAATATCCTTAATAAATCTTGAACTATCAAGAGCTGATTCTATAGAAATAGCTCCTAAAAGAGCTATAAGTTGGTATGACCAGTAATTTGGGGTGGCTAGATTGATATTCTTGGAAGTAAACCACAGACCAGAAAGGAGATCTAAGGAGCATGGTTTCTCAAGCCATCAGCATGATTTTGCAACATGGTATTCTCGAGTAATAATTTAAATTTGAAGCATTATCATTTTCAAATTTCACAGTTGATATCTTACTGTTGTATATGGAAATAAGCCCTGTGAATTTTTTTATAACTTAGTGCCTGGAAACTAAGGTTGCTTCCAAACTAGTGATATTTGCTGTTGATAGTAAATATATCTTCATCCCTGCCCTACTATATCTACAGCAATTTTCCTATAAGGTTATATTCTAAGTAAGCAAACTATAGACTTGTCCAATAATTTGGAGATTTTATTTATTCACATAGTATGTTATCTTGGGGGGAGTGCCAAAATATTTTTATAACCTAACTTCTCTTTTCTACTTTACACCAATATATTACTTTTAATGAAAATCTACTATATACATAAGGAAGAATGGCCTCTTCCAACTATGTAAGAAGAGAACCTTTCCCTCTGTAAGTAGGAAAGCCTATTCGGGTGGGGAAGGGAGCTTTCTATTTTGCTTGTGAGACTGGCAGAAGCTAGCTCACCTGTAACATGAGCTCCTCAACCTCCAGACTCATCATATCCCAGACCTACCACTTTATCTTAATCTTTCACTTTGTAAGTAACATTTCTGCCAATTCCTTGCACTCACTGGACTTACTTGTGCCTATCTATTCTCCTGTCTGGCTTTTCCCAGCCCCTCCCCAGCACTCTGCTTCCATGTCTTCCTATTGTGCTTTGAKAAAAGAAGTTTGCTTTGAATCATTTCAACTGGAAACCTTATTCAGGATTCCCCAGGTAATACCACGCTTCCTACAATTTTCTTTCATACAGACTGACTTCCTACTCTCACAAAAAGACAAGGGTGGGGACAGGGTAGAGAGCATAAAGGGTTACAAAAGCTAGGCTTCTTACTAACCCCCAACACTAGTTAGACATTGGACCACCATTCTTCCCCTGCTTCTCACCCATCATTTAGCACTATGAGGTCAACAAACTGACCAGTCTCCTTACTTGCCGTTCTTTTAATGGATGTATTTATGTATTTACTGCAGTGTTGGGAACTGAACTCAGGGTCTTGCACATGCTTGGCAATTGTTCTATCACTGAACTCTACCCTCAGCCTTTGCCATTCTTTTAACAACACTAACTTATTCTTTATTCTCATTAAATCTAAAATCATTAAACTCCCTTCCACATGACTCAGACCATTGGTTCACAGAAAACTATCTCAGTGGACTCTTCCTGACCATGAGATTAGGTATTTTAATATTGTCTTCCTAAACATCTTTATATCCATGTCCTCTTCATCTTCTAACCAAACTCAATATTTGCTTTTCTACTCCTGATGCTTTGTGCCAAACCAGAGGAACACAAAAAACTACACAAATGTGGACTCTTTTTTATAAACACTTCTAAGTGGACCCATATCTTTACACAGAAATTCTATATTTCAAAGCTAAAAAATCCCTCCCAACTCAACTCTTTCACCTTCATTCAAAAATAATGCGTTCTAATAATTACTGCTATAATTTGTTCTCATTTTCTCTAATCTTGCTTTCTTTTTCCCTAGTCTTTTAACTGCCCTGACACATGATGGGGAAAGGCACATCTCATTTCTCTAAAGATAAATCACAACTTCATTTCAAGGGTTATTTCCTTCTACCATCTGCAAAGGTACATTTATCCTGCTGAACTGGCCTCTCTTGCCTTCACTACTGTCAGTCTCCTCTTCTCAACTGTCATATGTCCTTATGGGTCTTTTCCTTAAAAAGCAGTGTCTCCTAAGCTCTACCACCCATCTAGTTAACACTATGTTTTCCTTTTCACCTTCTTACCAAATTTCTTAAATAAGTAGATATTCATATCCTTCACATTTCCTTGACTAGTTCCAGGAATCTGGCTCCCTCTCCTACCTTTATATGAAAGTTGGGTCGCCAGAGATCTGACAGTCAAACCTAAAGTCCCTTTCTCAGATCTCATGCTTTCCAATTTCTAGGTCATAATTTCTTCTTCACCCCAACTATTACATTGTAGCCCAGGCCGACCAACTCACTCACTCTGCCCAGCAATGGCACTGCTTTCTAATTTGTCCTCACTGTAGTCAAACACATTATCCAAATTACTTTTCTTAAAAACACTATAACGAGTTAGGCAAGGTGGTGTACACCTGTAATCCCAGAGGCTCCAAAGGCTAAGGCAGGAGGATCCTGAGTTCAAAGCCAGCCTCAGTAACTTAGAGAAGCCCTATGCAACTCAGCGAGACCTATCTCTAAATAAAATATAAAAAGCGCTGGGGATGTGGCTCAGTGGTTAAGCATCCCTGGATTCACTCCCCAGCACCTCTCCCCCAAATGCTATAATGAAGCAACATCTTTGCCAAAACCCCACAGTTCTCTACCTCTACCATATCAAGGTGGAACTCCTTTTTTTAATATTCAAGGCTCTCAGCGCTTGACTTACCTACAGGACCTATACAACTCAGCGAGTGTATTTCCTTACTGTCCTTCCCTTCTAACTCCTTTGCACCATGCTAATTTCTGCTTCTAGTCTGTGGTTCAATCCTCCCCCTTTATTGTACTGATCTTCTACTGCTTTCATTTTAAATTTAAATCATCTTTGAAAGTCAGAAAGTACCATACTCTTTTCATGAAGCCTCTCCTTATATCAGCTCACAAGAACTTCTTTTCTTTACTATCAGCATATTTGATATTTTTCACTAAATATTTACGTGATGAACACTTTCATATCTTACTATCACTTATTCATTCAGAGAAGGGCATAGCACTAAAGTGAAGAAAGACAAGACTGACACCAGATAATCTGACTTTGCCAATTTTGGAAAATAAAAGAGTGTGTGTGTGTAATTGTTTGGCATTATTACTTCTTTAAAAGGCTGGCTGGGTGCAGTGACATATACCTGTAATCCCAGTACCTCAGGAGGCTGAGGCAGGAGGATTACAAATTTGAGACCAACCTTGACAGCACAGCAAGGTTCTAAAGACTTAGCAAGACCCTGTCTCAAAACTAAAACATGGAAAGGGGGTGGGGATGTGGCTCAGTGGTTGAGCAACCCTAGGTTCAATCACTGGTACAAAAAAAAAAAAAAAAAAAGGAAGATTGAATTGTATTTCCAATTGTATGATATCTATCACTTAAACAGATTTGGGGACATTTTATAATAAATCATAAACCAGGGGATGGGATTGTGGTTTAGTGAAGGAGCACTCGTCTAGCACGTGCGGGGCCCTGGGTTCGATCTTCAGCACACATAAAAATGAATAAATGGAAAGGAAGATATCGTGTCCAACTAAAAAATAAAGACTTTTTAAAAATCATAAACCAAAAATCAAAAACATTACAAATCAGCATAGGATAAATGGTACCCCAGTTTGTCTGCATAAATAATAATCTTCATTTTTGTAAGATTTCAATACAGCTATCTGTTCCTTTCTCTTGACTTTCTGCAGCAATGCCTCTGTGGGTGTACTTCCCACCTTCCTAAGGGCCTGTGTCACAGCAGAAGAAAGATCTGGCAATCTTGGAGGTACTTGGAATAAGATACAAATAGGAGCCATGTCAGTAGAAATGTGCACAGACAAATGCATTAAAGTTTTTTTTTTTTAAAGGAACACAACACGTATATAGAAGGCTTCAGTTATTACCCAGAACACTAAGTAAAGATACATGAGCATACACACACTTAAATAAAAATAACGAATATATGTTTTTCCTATTAAGGTTTTTTTCACCTCCTACAAATTATCAAATATTTGAAATAAAAGTATTCAATATCCTTTGTTGCCATTGTTAAAAAGGTTACTGAGAGATGAACAATGAAATGAATCTGGACTGTTATGACTATTCTGATTAAAACATATCAAGAGCTGACCTGATAAAAACAATGTGAAAATACAATTGCCACTGGACTCATCCCTGATAACAGGATGTACATTTATCTCATTCAGCTTTGTATCCTTCAAGATCTAGCTCAGGTCACTACGCAAAATCAGTACTCAAATATTTAATTAAAGCTTTGTGAAAATAAGGGGAGAATACACAAAAGTATCCCCTGGAAAAACACAATGCAACAGTAGAATAAGAAGGAAAGCATTACTAATCAAAACATTGTTTTTCTAATGGGATCTTTAAGAAAATGTAGTCAAGAAAGAGGCACTTGATATTATATAACTAAACTCTTTCAGTGCAAGACTATTTTCTACAGTGGCACCAAAAACTTTTCAAGGCAACAGTTAATCCCCCCCTTTTTTATTTCTTTGAGGTGTAGATGGGTGTCAACAAACCCCTTATAAATCTAGTAACTAAAGATTGTCTGTCTCTCTTTCTCTCAAAAAAAAAAAGAATAGATGTGTACATGCACACAAATCCACAATTTTGTAGCTTCAGAGTTCTGGACTCCAGGTTAAAATTCCTGTGTTAGGAAAAGACTAGTCGCTTTATAAAGGTTAAGGATGTACAAATGTGTGTGTATGTGTGTGTGTGTGTGTGTGTGTGTGTGTGTGTGTACAAACTTTTCCTTGCAAAAGATGGACCGAAACAAACCTGAAGCTTTTTAGAATTTCTCATTCTTTACCATCATTTTGGTTACAATTTGCTAGTCAGGTGAAATGGTGCTTGAGCATAAAATTATGGCTGACTTTTAATACTTCTAAGGAAACATATTAAATAAACTATTAAGTAAGCAAAAAGATAAGGCCTTACAAAGTGGTCTTGAAATTCATCAGTGAATTTAAGGATCACTTTTAGACATTCCTTATAAAAATTTGGAAATTGGAGTCTTACTATCTCAAGAAGCACTTTCCTGACTGGTGGTGTGCCTGGAAGCAGGGAGAGATGAGCAGCAGCAAAGGGACTGCTTTGGGAATCTATTCAGGACTCTGGGAAAGTCTGGGTAAACTTCAAGACAGCTTTTCTATACAAATATGAATGGAAAAAAGAAACAGAAACAGAAAGATCAGGAAACGGGGCTTGTTTAACAGGTATCTCTCTCAACACTGAGAAGTAAGTAAATAAGAGCTAACCACCTGCTATGGCTTTGTAAGAAGATCCAAGAGATGAAAAGCTTACATTGAAAGCTGGAGAAAGCTATGAGCTGGTAAGCATCATGACAAGGAGCCCATGTTTTGTTAACAAAGTGAAGGACCACTTGCTCCGCAGGAAATAATTGGCAAAGTGTTAGTCTTTTACAACAAAAATGAAAATCATAATTAAATTAAGCTATAATTAAAGATTGATGTTTAATAAGTCTACAGTATTTTATTGGATTTTCTTAAAATGCTGGCTTAAAACCACTTCTAAATGAAAATTAGAAATTGGTATTCATGTGGAGTTTCATAAAAATAACTTAGATGGCTAGATAATTAGTTCCTTCTGCATCCTCAGGTAACCAAATATCAGGATATTAAGTATAGATTTTGGTTTACCCAACTATACTTCAGGATAAGGCCATTTAATTTGTTGCACTATATCTAGAAAAAGTAATCAGATCTTACATAGAGTATAATCCCCAAATTCCAACTCCAACATAACAATAGCATCATCTACTAATAAGCAGATTTTATTATTTAAAATCTCTAGCCTTTTTGGTATTCATGACACCCCTCTTGTATTTTTTTAAAACAAATTAAGGCATACTTTTTTGTTGTTGTTGTTAAATCACAATTGTTTTGACTTTCCCTTTCTTCTCAGATGCTGCTTCACATAGGCAGAATATGATCATGTTTTCTAAATCAGCTTTTGTCCACTGCTCCAAACTGAGTTCAGTTTTCTTTTATTATCAGTTTTAAAACTATTTCAAGAAATTTTGTATTATCAAAAACATCACTTTACATTATCCTATAAAGTACTCCACTATTTTCTGTGATTCACTAAAATATCCATTTACAACTTACATGGACTAATTTTAGAGGACATCCAAACTTTTCTCTTCTACTTTAAGTCTCATTTAGGTCAAATACTTACAAAGACTTATTACCACATTTCAGGTATTAAACAATGAAATTTCCAAACAAATATCCCACCAAACTACTATTTGTTCAATAAAAATGTTATACTACTTTAGCGGCTACTCACATACAATGTTCATCCCACATTCAAGTTTCTGATAAATCATTTAGAAGTTGAAATTGTGTTTTTGAGGCATTTCCTGGTATACTAGGCAGTGCGTTAGGAAAGAGATTATATTGCATTTAGGCCATAATAATTATCTTTTAACCATCTATTTTATAATTAACAACCATTCAAAAATAAAGTGCAAATGTGCAAATGAGAGAGAACAAAACAGTTTCTACACATGTAATGCATAATATAAGATATAAATCTAGGTAACTGAAAACAATTGCTGACAACATCCTTCTGAGCATTAAATGACACCAACCAAGTTTGTTTTATATGTATTCTTTCTTCTCAAGTATTCAAAGAATGCAATAGACATTATCATCTCAATTCTCAAATTAGGATATTACCATTTTTTTTCACAAATCAGAAAACAAAGAACTATCATTACCTTTGTATATTTTCAGTTATAGAGCCAAAATAAGAACAATTCTAGCTAATCTCATCTGGGATCTTAATTAGTATTATAAGTTTATTCATATGAGTTAAAAATAGCATCACTCATAAGAAACAATGCCAAAATTATTATGCTAATAAATTATGTTAAAGGCCTAATGAAGAAATACTTTAGCAACTATGAGGTAACACACTAGTTGTAGGCATGAGGAACGTTTATATTGGCTCTTTTGGGTGTATACATTAAATGCAAAATCAGAAAGGAATCATGCAAAAATCCGGTTGCCCATGCAAGCACCCCAGAGTCTAATCCTCTCCTCTCAGTTCTGTTGTCAGGCCACAGTAGTGTGGAGACTTGTAGGYTGCTGTCCTTGTTGTAATGAATGGGAAGAGGCTGACAGTGGCATGGTCGAAACCTTCACCTCTTCTTCCCCTGTGGAAAAGTCAGTCATGGTCTAGTTATGGGTGACTAGATTTGTTAACAGTCCCTTTAAAAATGATTTCAAATATTTGGAATACTGATACATATATAAAATACATGCTTAATGGTTGGAATCCGGGTGTGAAACAAGACACGAATTCTAGAATATAAACTTTTCAAGTACTTAGAAAGTAGTTACACTCTAAACACACCCTTAATTTTAATGCTGTCAGAGATAAGATCAAATATAGTAGATTTAGATTACAAATATACTACCAAAAGAAAAAAGAAAGGAAGACAGGGCAGGAAAGCCATTCTTTTCCAAGCCAATTGGACGCCTTATAAACAGAGACACTCCTAATGAGAAATATTTTTTGAAAAAATTAAAAATTGATTCACAGGAATGAAAAACTCATTTTTGAAAAAGAAAATTATAAATCCATCTTTTAAAAACATAAGCTATATACATTAGGAAAAGATGGAAATTATAAAGATTAAATCAGTAAATTAACATATAACATGAAAACTTAATGTGTACTTTTGAGGTACCAGAAAAATATTAAAATGCTAACAATATATTGATCCAATTGACTGAAAGTAAGATGACTACTTTTAGATCAGAGAACTACATATGAATGAAATCAGTTCTCCTAATTATAACTGATCATTATTTCACTAAAAGTGAATGGTTTCACATATGACTCAAAATTCAATCAAGTCACTGTGAAAGCAGTTGATATAGAAACAAAGAAAATTTAAAGAAAAATGCTCTCATAAGTAAAATTAGAATTAACAAAACAGGAAAAAAAATCCCAAGTCTAAACAATTTCAAATATTTTTAAAGTATATCTTGAAACAACAAAACATACAGACTTAGACTTACTATTGTTTTCCAAATAATTTTTAACATTATGGAATAAAAACATCTTGGCAGAGAATTCTTTAGAATAAATCTGCAAAATTACATTTGGAAAGATAGCTTAACTGACAAAATGTAGACAAAGAGTGTATCGATCCATAGAACAGATTATTTCAGTTCTTCAATAAATTGGCAAACTTCCTACAAATCCCAAATACATAGCAAGAAGACTGGTAAAACAAAACTTTAGACTAGAGTTCTTAGGTAAGATCATGGTATTAACGAGGACTAAGCTAGAGACTGATTTTCATCAAGTCAATAAACTTCATTCAATTTTGTTTTTATTTGTTTACTATAGGCTATATCCCTGAGCTGGGCCAATTTGTCTCATGAATAAATACTATTGATAAAAAGGGACTTGCAAGTATGTGAGAGCAAAAGTCAATTACTATGGGAAGAAAGCCAAGTTAAAGTACATGCCAGTGATCTTCAATTGTGAAGGAGAGCATCAGTGTTGTAGTGCAAAAACATTTGCATTATTGAATTTGAGGTCTGGGTTCTTATGCTAACTCTACTACTAACTGAATGTGTGACCTTTAACAAAGTAGTTAAGCTTCCTAGAATACAGCTCTGCCATTCCAAAAATGAAGAAACTGGACAAGATAAGTAACTTTTTACAACAAAAGCACAGGGTTCCAATAAAAACAAAAATCTAAATGAATTTATTATAACTGCCCACTAATCAAAGTTCCTTCCAAGAACATTTATTTAAATTTTTTTTCTAAGCTTAGCAAACCAGACGTGCAGCTAAGAAAATGCTGCTAAAAGGATTTCACCTAATTAAGGAAATAACTTTAAAAACAAAAATGTTTTCAATTAGATAAAGGAAACAGAAGCTGAATTTCTGTCAAACCTCTGGTAACTGTTCTTCCCATGATAGGTTTCAGATACATCACTTTTTAATGATTAACTGAAACAAACCAAAAATAAAATTTAATACAAATATGTAATACACAGACATGAAATCTGTAATGATATACAGGTGGCTGCCAACTCTGATTCGCTCCAACAGTTAGGAACCCTATTTTGCCCTTCATACCTAAGAAATAAAATATACATGCTGTTCCCAGTGTAGAATTAGTTTAGAATATTCWTTATCTTAAAGTAGCAAGCCCCACTGAAACAGTATGGAGTCTTCATTACTAAAGCATTTAATGAATAACTACTCTATATGAGATACTATGATGATCACTACAATAGTTCACTTTCAATAGTTCAACTCAAGGACAACTGAGTTCCAACTGCAGATGGGGAGACAGATATTACCTAGGTATAAACTGCTTCAAATTAGACACATTGAAGAGGTATATAGGTTTTCAGATTTTTTACTCTGTCATTTTACTCTGTCATAGTTACTGAAAATCCTAAATCACCTAGCTGCAATGATTCAATTATTCTGCTTTTAGGCTTAGCACATTCAGTTTCCTGAGGTATCTGTCAAGTGTTTATAAACCATGAGAGGATGCTGTGTGACTCTTGCCAAACAATTTTAAATATTCTGGTATATTAAACTTGAAACTTCTCTAGTTATCAGAGCCTTAAAAATAATCTAACAGCTTAACCACAGTCACTATTTAAATACCAAGCAAGTATGCAGAGCCAAAACTTGAAAACCTGAAATAACAAATTTCCCCCCACCAAATACAACAATGATTCAAAACCTAAAGTTGGTGCTTTATTTTTAGCAACTCTGAAAAATAAGTTTTTAATGTCCTAAGGTTGAGTATAGAGTAAAAGAAAAAAAAAAACAGACAGAACTATCATTTAATGCCACATTTTAAAAATAAAGTATCTACTGCAGATAAAGATTTTCTAATAACTAACATAGGAAAACTACATTCACTGATCAGTGATGACTCATTACCAGTGTGGCACTCCAAAGTATCTGCTTACTTAAAATACTTGGATTAAAATTGCTCTTTGGTGTTAATGGACAATTTGAAAACTAAGAAATTGAAAGAACACATAATTTATTGAAGATGGACATGTAGAAAGTCAAATAAAAATATATAATGAAGGCAGCTAAGACTAGAGTCCCATATCAAGCCCACACTATTGTGCCTCGCTCTCCAGAGAGCCTCATCTTCTCAACCATTGTATTACTATGGCTTAAGAAGCACTTCCTGTTATGGAAGGCAGTTTTAATGCATCTTAATGTAATGACACACTAATGCCTGCCCTTTGTGCCTTTACTAAAGGGGTTTCCATCAACATAAAAGGCCCTTTCTCTTCCCCTGCCACTAACCCAAATCCAAGATAGTGTAGTACAGATGAATTCCTGTTTCTTCAATTAAATCTCCCCAACAATTACAGGGTACATTGATGTCTCTCAGATTCCAGCACCATACAATGTTACCATTTTCATACATAACTTTATCTCTTCAAGTACACTCTAAACTACTTGGAAATAGTGTTTGTATTTTATACTTCTTTTGTATCCCCACATGGCCTGGCTCATTGTTTGATCAAACAGGAACTGAAATATTAATTGTAATTGGGATAATACTTTATTTTTAAATATTTAGGGGGACTTTAATTTCTAATATTATGATCACTTATAAGATTCACTACTAATAATTAAAACGCCACCTTTCTAAATGATTAAAACAAAGCAAAACAAAACATAATTGTATTCTAATGTGCTATCTTGAATGGAGGAAAAGAAAAGGTGTACAGAAATTGAACACTTTTTCATAAGCGAATATCACATAGAAGGAGAGGACTGAAAAATGTCACTCTGGATTACCTACTATCTACCATAATYAAAAGAGCAAATACCACAAGTCTCATCAATATGTAAATCATTATATCAGGTGCTCTTAAAATTATGTAAATTCACTTCACTTATCCACAGTCACAAACTTAAGATCTAGCTTTCTGTCTAGATCATGAAATGTTGTGCGTTCCAAGGGAATACAAAGAATTTAGATGGACCTCTGTATATTCATTTATCTATCTTGCTAACAAGAGAACGAATACCTTACTGTCAAAGTATTCTAATATAATAACACCTGTGTCATGCCACACCTTAAAGGCTATGACAAGATAAAAATAAATTATATAAATTATATATCACAGTATAGGATTATTCTATTCTACTTGAAAGAATAAGGAAAGGAAGAAACTCTCTTTTACACATTATCTCAAAAGCTCAAATTAAATGAGAACACTATAAGAATGACTTCCTCAGAAAACACTACATCTAAAAAATGTTACAGGATCTTAGACCCAAAAGTTCTGAAACCTTCAAGGGTAGCAGTACAAGACCAGAAGTATTCTGGTATCAAACTTGTATTCTTAAATATATACCTAATATTTTCCCCCAGAAATAAAAACAAGACAAACTAAAAGGGTAATTTCTCTCCTTGAATAATTTCTTTTCCATATAAAGTATGTCTGTGACATGTTACAAAACATTAATAATCAGAGCTCTCAAATATTCTCATACTTTAGCGCAGTTTTGATATGTGTATGTGTGTATCTGTCAAAATAAGTAAATGCCCTACCAGTTAGAGTGGCTTTATCCCTCATGCTCTCATTGATTATCATTTTAAAAAGGGTTTTAACCACTTTACTTTTATAACATAAAATAAGATTTTTTTACTATGGTGTTAAACTTCACAGCATCATAATTTCAGAGTTCATTTTTTTTCTTTTTCTTTTTGCATTTATATAGCATATGAAAGTTTGATAATTATTCTATTAAGTAAAATGCTTCCAAACAATGACTTGGTATAATACTCCACCATCCTTATAAAGCTCAATATTACAAGGCATCTGTCTAATTAAAAATATTTTAGATTATGATAAAGACTAACTTTTTTTTACAGAAATTTTCATGACCAATAAGTACCCTCTGTTATTCAATAGTTCCTTCCCTACCCACCCAACAAAGTAAAGGCATGAGTTATTCAAGAATTTTCAAAGGCTTTAAATGAACCTACCTGCTATAGGAATCCCTCCCAGACCTGTGTTGTGCTGTGGCGGGAGATTCAAGTCCAAGAAATTACTATTTGAGGTGGGGTTTGCTGTGTGGTTCAAGTGCATGATGCTATTGCGTGGAAAGGCCATCCAAGGATAGCGGGCTGCCTGGCCTGGAAAACTGAAGGAATTATAAACTGCTCGGTGCTGCTGAAATTGAGGGAATCTTTGTGGCAAGACTGAAAAGGTACTATTAAGAGAGTTGGCATTTGTCGGTGCAGCAGGGTGTAGGAATCCAGAGCCTGGACCTTTGGCGGTTGTAGTGTGTGAAGAGGAGTTCTGAAGAGATGTGGGTGAAAGGGAAGGTTGATCTTGGACGGACAATTCCTTCTCAATCAGGTCTGCTAAGGCTTTTCGAGTAACATCAAAGGGATCAAACCCCAAGTCATCCTCTGGTTGTTTAGAAGAACCAAAGCCAAATGCTGCTTGCCAGTCTGTGGAGGATGATACTGGGATTGTTTCTGTTAGGAAGAAAAATAGTGATGAATATAATATGCATCCGGTCCCTTTCACAATTAATAAAACAACTATGAAAAACATGTCGTATTGTAAGATAAAAGCAAATACGTGCAAAATCAATGACTTTTTAGCTTGGTAAAATAATTAGTTACAAACTACTTGATATCCAAATTACACTCAACAATTCATAATCAAAACCAGCATAAATCATTTAATGAAACAAAGTAATAAATACAATTTAACAGATTTTTTTTTTTTTTTAAAGAGAGAGTGAGAGAGGAGAGAGAGAGAGAGAGAATTTTTAACATTTATTTTTTAGTTCTCGGCAGACACAACACCTCTGTTTGTATGTGGTGCTGAGGATCGAACCCGGGCCGCACGCATGCCAGGCGAGCGCGCTACCGCTTGAGCCACATCCCCAGCCCCAATTTAACAGATTTTAATTAGTAAAACTTATTTGCTAAAATGTATTTATCAAATACAAAGTATAAATATTTTTTAAATGTCTTATATACTTCCAAGAAAAAAAATGCACTTTAATGAAAAATATTATAGGTTTTTTGTCTACTTCATAGGTGCTGATTTGAATGCTAATTTATGGCATCAATAAGAGAATTTATAGTAAATAAAAATGAAAATAGATTTAAAAAATGCCAAAACAATTTTTACAACTGGGGAGAATCTTAAATTTAACTACAAAAGCACAAACCTAATTTAAAAAATCCTAATTCCAAGAGAAATAAGCTTTTTTTATTGGAAAAATTATATACCCCTTGATTTCTGCAGAAATGTCTTTTAACACAAAAACTTGTGGGTTATATACAACAATTTATCTTATCATCTAATCCTATGCAGTTTAAATGTTTACACTTTTATAAAAGGAAAGTACAAGAGAAAAAGGCTAAGAATATATCTTACTAAATGGGTTTTATGTTACAAGTCCAGGTACTTTAGTTATATACCTGATGTGAAGAGACTCTGTGGCTCTGGTGCTGTAGGCCAGTCACTAGATGTCTGTGGGGAGCTGGGAAAAGGAGGAAGCCCACTTGGGATAGGGTTGGGATGGCGAAAATTGTCTGAGAATAATGACTGTGACTCTGTTACTGCCCCTTCAAATGGGGACCGTGCACTGTGATTGGATGAACTGATGGGGATGACTGGATTGGATTTTGATAAACCAGGTGGTGGTGAAGGCGTATCACTGTTAGATATCTAAATAAAAAAGAAAAAGAAAATAATCAATACACGTTTATACTTTCAATAAGCCACACTTAAAAAGAGTTGCAACTAAATATATTAGAACTGTAATCTCAAACAAGGGAACTCAAAGACTTTTTAATTAAAGCATGGAGTGTCAGAAAATCAATCCTATCACTAAGTTGCACCTGTATTTTTTTTTTTTAAAAAACCTGATCCAGCTGAAAAGATTAAACCAATTTCCTTTCCTTTTACAATCTTACTCCTCTCACTTTGTAAACAAAGAATATTTCTCACTCTCTAGGATTTCATTACAGTATTTTTCTTAAGAATAAAAATTTTCTAGGGACCAAAGACAAATTATTAGAAATGTTCCAGTTGGTAACAAGAGAGTAAGTGACTATAACAACTAGAACCTTTTGTAAAATTAGATGCCCCCCCCCTTTTTTGCTTTTAACAAAACTGAAGATTTTGAATCAAGTTGTTTCCAAAGCTATCATTAAAAAATAATTATGGTAAATCTTTATATGTGTTTTAGGTATCTAATTCAGAAGGAATTCAAAGATTTAAGTGATAATAATGTAATATTTCTCCTACGAATTAATTACACAAACAAGATGCCTCAGCATTATATCCTAAGAAAATGAAAAACTAGGACTATTGCTAAAATCTGTCTCATTTTACCAACAGATAATACTCATGTAGGATACATGAAATCTAAATTTAAAATTGCCCAATTAATCTCCCTAAGAAATGAATTTCCAATAAGTTCAGTTTTTATGTTTAATGATTTTTTATCAAAATCCACACATTGTTTTAATCAACAATTCCTTTTAATAAACATTCAGAAAAAGATTGACATTTAAAGACTTCACAGCAAAAACATTTTTATTTCAATTCAAAATTTATATGCATATTTTTATTTGGGTATGTGTATTAAAAAAAAACTACATCATATCAAGATAAAACCCTAATGGCAATAGAAACAGGAGGTCAAAGAGGAAAAGAAATGACGTACAATTTCTGATAAAGAGGAGTTTGTATATTTTTAAAAAACGGATGATGGGGTATCAAAATGTATGATCAAAACAATACAATGGGATGTCAAAACATTAAACTTCTTAGTTATTGAAGGAGCAATGTAGCACTTCTACTTAAAAATACATCCTTTGTCTTATGAAAAAAATGTCAACCAGAATACATAAGGGGATATGTGGATTTTTCAAATTCTTTTGTGGAATTTGTGAGAATTATAAGAAAACACTGTATTTTAGACCTCTTGGTTTTTCACATATATTGTGGGAAACTGGCCATTGCTATTGAAGCAATTAAAATTACATTTATTTTACCAGTGTAAGAGATGTACATAAATGTAAGTAGTGAAAAACAAGTTTCCTAAGCAATAAAATATTACAAAGTATGCTCTAATTGTTTTCACAATGAATGAAAGTTTGAACAGCTCATCTGGTTTACCATTTCAAAGCCAAAAGCCATTTGGCAAAGAAAGGAGGAAAGATGTTAAGGGATAAGAACACTGGGCGAAAATTCTGACAGCAAAAGACAGGAAGAATATAGTGGAGAATCAACTCTTAAAAGAACTCAGAAGTGGGGGCTGGGGTTGTGGCTCAGAGGTAGAGTGCTCGCCTAGCATGCATGAGGTATTGGATTGGATCCTCAGCACCACATAAATTTAAAATAAAGATATTGTGTCCACCTAAAACTTAAGAATAAATATTTWWWWAAAAAAAAGAACTCAGAAGGCATGCTGGCCTGGGAACATCTGAGTGAAAAAACCAATAACAGAAGCAGATTCTACCATACAATACAATTATATATGGTCCTAATGATAGTTTTAAATCATCATGAAAGGGTTAAATTATGCTGTATATATTCTGTGAAGGAAAAGAAGGCTACTAATAACACACTCAACAATGCTGTCCATCAAAGGTATTTAATTTAAATTGTCAGTATTTAAAATATTTTTCACTATTTAGAAACTTTGCTTACACAGAATACCTTGTTTTCAGGGTATGGCAGATAAAGTGATACTTTATCCAAATCTTACCTGCTGGGAATTATCACCATTCCCTATACTGAGAGAATCTGAAGGTTTATCAATGGGGCTGTAAAAAGAAAACAAATCAAATAAAATCAAGAGTAAAGTCATTCTGCCACAATAAAAACAAACTTCCCCAAAGCCAGAAAAATAGACATTTACCATCTTAATGAATGTTTATTTGAGGCAATGTGATGTAAGACATTAGGTTATATAATGAGAAMACAAAGAAGTACACTACCCTTCTTTGATCATTATCCTGTGAATAACTAACATTCTAATCAGACTTTTTCTAAACAGCTTGTGGGGCAAGGGGGAGTACTTAAATCATATACTTCTTTAATTCACAGGTCAAGAGTCTATCCAGGGGCTGGGTTGTAGTTCAGTGGTAGAGCACATGCCTAACATGTGTGAGGCACTAGGTTTGATCCTCAGCACCACATAAAAATAAATAAAAGTATTGTGTCCATCTATAATCAAAATATATGTGTGTATGTGTGTATATGTGTGTGTGTGTGTGTGTGTGTGTATATATATGTATATGTATATATATTCCATCACTTAGTTCTGTGCCTGTGATAAACTGACCCATTTTTCTTGGTATATGACACAAGGGCATAAAAGTCATTGAACTTTCTCAACAGGTTCTTAAGAGCCAAAAATTTCATTGAAGACTTCTAGATACTAATCCTATCCTTATAATAGGCATATGTTTACATGCATACAGACAAAAAAGAGACAAATGAAACACACTTTTATTTAAACTGACTCAAAACAAGCATTGTTTTATTTTCATACAAAAAACCATAGAATCATGGTAAAGACAGAAATTACTAACTTCAAGTCCATTTTAACTCCTCTGATTAAAGGCTAGATAAAATTTCTATACACACTGCAACACTGACTTAGTGACATCACTTCCATAACTAACTTTATTCAACTTAGCACATGAACAAAAGTAAGTAATATTACCCAAATGGATATGCGGGGAAAAAAAGTTAAGATAGCAAATTTCTCAAAATTATTTTAATTCCTGAAAATATAAAAAAGTCACCTGTCAAAGAGATAACTTACTGGTACCATACTTAATTGCTCTAAACAAAACTGAGCAAGGGCTAGTACCCAATCTGAATTCCAGGTATATCTTCTGCAGAAACACTGCTAGATGCTCTTGATTCTGGCAAACAGACTATCTGCCAGGGGCAGCTATCATGAATTGTTTAAGTCCTTAAAAAGGCTTACACCTTAGAAGAAAGAAAAGCAAGCAAACAGTAAAGGCAGCAACAGCACAGGTGTCAAGAGTCGAAAGGCTGCAGAGTTGGGAGTCAGGTAATTAGCTAACAAATAGGACAGTGTAAATAACAGTGGAAATTTCTGAGCACAGAAATGATCTAAGCAAGCAATGTTTATGAAAAGCTAATTTGTGTGACATAAAGAACGGTATGAAACATAACAGAAGTGATCTAAGATAAAGTTGCCCTATTCTTACAATATGGGGCTAAGGGTTTCAAGTTGAGAGGAAGAGGTAGTAACAAAAAGATGAAAGCAAGATATTACAAGAGAAGAACTTCAGTGTCTGGATCTTGGTTCATCCTCCCAGCCACAATCATTAAATAGAACTAAATAAAATTTTCATTATAAGTGAGTCAGTCTTACTAACATTCAGGTCAATAAATCTTTCTGGATTACAACAAATTCAAATAATTTATATCATCTTGTCCACCATCCCAATTGCATTTTCATAAGTGTGACTTTATGACACCTTTATGCTTCCTCAGGAAATACTTAAGCATTTCTAGATTAGAATCATGAATTCAAAAATAGCTGCTGAAAAATTGGTATTTGGGCTGTGGTTGTGGCGCAGTGGTAGAGCACTTGCCTAGCACATGTGAGGCACTGGGTTCAATCCTCATCACCACATAAAAATAAATACATAAATAAAATAAAGATGTTGTGTCCATCCACAATTAAAAAACATTATTTTAAAAAATARGTATTTTAGTAAGCTTATATTCCACTTAGTTTTATTATATCCTCCTCAATTTATTTAATAATTAATAGATTTAAGGAATAACCAAATAAAAATTTAAAAATATATATATAACTAGAAATTATTTTATATGTGGGTTGTTGGAAAACAAAAATAAAAATCAATGATAGTTGCACCTAAAGTGCAGACAAGAAACCATGGGAAAGTCCCTACAAAACATGTATAACCCCAATAAAATGAAAAGGATATTTACAAATTCCTAAAAATATGAACTCCTTGGATCTCTAATGGCTGGACATAAATTATATCATGTGCCTACTACTAACATGACTTTACTGGCATCAGATATAGAACTTCCCTTCTCATCAAGCCCAGTCTGCTCAAGCTGTGGTCATTTTGACAAATTTGTTTTACTTTCAACATTCAACCACCATTATCATGCCTAGAAGGCAAATGCTTAAAGAAGAAAGAAAAAAAAGGAAAGGAAAACAAAGTTTAGTAATATTGTGTTTACTACGAAGAAGACCTATTTTATGGTAGAGAACTGCCAGGTTCCTATCATATCAGATTTAAGAAGCTTAATTGTACCAAGATAAATTGCAATATAGGTTTTAAAATTTAAAACCACACAAACAAAAAACTTCATAAGCTTTCTTAAATCAATCTCTTTTTGCTACACCAAAAGAAAAAAAAAGCTTACATTTTGAAGCAAAAGTTTGGTTGTTCACTCCATTTTCCATGGAAAGATTTTTGAACTATATGAGGGGACTAGAGATGTGGCTCAGTCGTAGAGCACTTGCATAGCACGCATGAAGTCCTGGCTTCAACCTCCACCACACACACACAAAAAACACAAACAACCACCTCCCAACCATTTGTACACCAGAGAGCATGGAGTTGCCTAATGAGAGAAAAAACTAGAAAGGTGTTTGAAAAGTTAAGGATATCAGTTTGGTTCTCAAAAGCAAAGAAAAGCAGATAATATAAGCTGAATTAGACCAAAGAATGAGAAGCAAAAGCAGAGGTTTACAACCTTATTTGAAAAGGCTAAGAGCTGGAAGACATATTCCTATGGTTCACTCAAATATGACAGTTATAATGCTAAGAAAAAATCAAAGCAATGAATTCCCACAACTTACACAGCTGATTGAAAAGCATTGGACTCAAGTGGCACTGAGAAGTACCAATAAAACCATCTCATAAGATTATCGAGATTATTATTTCCAAAAGGCAATTTGTGTGTAAATCTTTGTAGATAAAACTCTGAAAACATATTTCACACTCAYGCTAACTTCTTTTTTAAAGTTCTAGTCCTAAATAGTTCTGAAATCTATGGTGAGATCACAGATTTCTTAGAAGCAAATATTTTTAAATTAATACAAACAGATGAAATCAAATTCAAGGGAGCGCTTCAAAAAATAAATATATAAGCCTATGTAGATATGTTTATATTTATTTATTTATTTATTGAAAGTATAAGGTATATATCCAGTCTTCATCTCTGGAGATTCTGATTCAATTAGTCTAAATTGAAACACCTGGCATCTGATGCAATAGAGGAAGCGAAGAGGAACGCAGTGAAAAGGCATCATGTCTCCTCAAAGTCTCTCAAATTATTAGATTTCACAGCTAGAAGGAATCATTAAAATCAAATTTAAATATTTTGTTTTACAGATAAAGAAGCCAAAATTCAAAACCATCTGCAAAGAGGCAGTGACATAGCTGGGCCTCAGCTGGGATCTTGAGATCTTCAGCCAAGTTTTGCATTTTTTTTTTTTTTAATCTTTTTGCAATACTAGATATGGAACTCAGGGACGCTCTACCACTCAGGGAGCTACATCCCCATCCCTTTTTATTTTGAAACATGGTCTCCTTAAATTGCTGAGGCTGGGCTCTAACCTGCGATTCTCCTGCCTCAACCTCTCAAGTCTCGCTGGGATTACAAACATGCGCCATCTTGCCCAGCCAAGTTTTGCTCTCTACTAACTTGCCCCAAATGCAGTGCTTGAATTTCACTTCCTTAATGGTGCTGCCAACCAAGTTACTTTCAGTGTAGTCTCCTGGATGCTTTTTAAAGTAAAAAAATTAGTTGAAGAATCTAAGAAAAATTGACTTTTGGGGACTAAAGATGAAGTAGAAAAAAAGTTGAGAAGGTCTAGTTTCTCTGTTTATCAAATTTAAGAGATAAAAGTAGTAATGGTGATTGTATTAGTTTTTAGTTAGATTTTTTAAGGTAAGGTAAAATTTACATAAACACAGGTATCAATATAATGGACATTCCAAATTTCACTGCCATGTTACCACAAATTCAAGTATGTATTCACTTTGCTCCTAAATCCCCATACTCATTTAGAGGAACTCATTTTAATTTGTTATGTTCACAAGAATCTTAAATAACTCTTCAGATATACTTAAACATTTACTACCACAAAGGATATATTTATGTCATCAACAGGTAAAACTTGCCTTCACAGAATACATTTTATTTGATAGGCTAAACATTTAGAGTACCATTTTGTTACTAAAATATGAACATCTCAAGTGGCACAATTAGCTATTGGCGGGGGTGGGGGAGGATGCCTCAATAATCCTGGAAGGTCATAGTTGGGCAAGTATTATTTTAATTGGAATTTTCTCATAACCCCAAACTTACTTAATTCAAAAGAAAATAAATGGGTGATTATTAGTAGGTACAGAATTAATTATTTTTAATATTAAACTTGGAAGATGGATATCTACCATCTAAGCACGTGGCAACCCTTGAAAAAGAGCAAGTAACCATTAATTTATTCTAATTTTGTATTTCAGTAATAAAACTTAATTTTAAATTTTAAAAAGATATTATACATTCAAGTTGAGTTTAAACATACAATTGCTCGATTGATGTGCCTTTTCTTCTCTTCTAGGAAACAAAGGCACAAAGAACCCTATCTGTAACCTCTTTTCTCCAGCCCCACTCAAACCAGCCCTATCTGGAACAAATCTTGTAGAACTATTCTATTTTTCTTAGGTGGAGTAAGATCCCCCAGATCACTTAACAGTTTTCTACTATATATGCACATGTGCAGGAATTGTGT